AGCGGTCTAACATAGACGACTTTGGCGTGCTGGCCATAGTATTTGCTTAGATAAAAATCTATTTTTTTAGTTCAATGTTTCTTACTACTTGTGGCTCTAGGAGACTTGTTTTATATACTCACATGTTACTGAGTTATTCTTTTTTGAGGGGTGTAGAATTAAAATACCAGTAATAATTTTCCAATGTCTATATTTCATATTTTTGTGGGCCGGGTTTTTTGTCAACTATAGACGTCGTTGGCGCTCAGGGCACGCAGGTGCTGGTCACGTATAGACGACTTTGGCGCTCAAAAGGTTAATTATAATAAAAATATAGCTAGAAAAAAATGGCTGAAAAATTTTGACAAACGAAATCCAGAAATTTCGCTTCGCAGGAACTTGTGCAACACTTTAATGCCATCAAAACCATTTATGAAGATCTGAATACTTATCTGAGTACTTATCCGGAGCGTCTTTATAATATGGTTGAAAAGGGGTGCAGATTAATATTCCACCACCAACACAAAGTATTTGCTACCAAAGGGACCATACGGGTGCACTTTGTTGCCTAAGAACACGCAGAGAATGTTACAATTGCTACTTGCGTGAATGCAACAGAAAATACTGTGCCACCAAGGCTAGCAAAAGATTACGACCAGAATTTTGCGGTAAATGCCTCCTGGAACCTTAGTAAAAATCGCCACGAAGGGAAGCATGACGACCGAACTATTTGTTAGCTTTATTAACCACCTGGGTCAATATAAATATTTTGACGGGACTTCTTCATATTTGGATGTCCGAATTGTAGATATTACTGATGCTCATGACATTGTGCTCTATTGTTTAGCAACCAATATTACACATATGAACTACAACCCCTTGACAAATCAGTTAATAAATGTTACGAACAGCGGCAGCACCAAAGACTAGAATATTATACAGGGAAAGGCAGCACTCAGTTTGTGCGTTAATAGCACGCAAGCTAATTTCGTTTTTCTTTGAGTTTCATTTGCAGAGTAAAATGAGTACCATTAAAGAAATTGATACGGATTACTTGCGATGACGCAGCACCAGTGTGGCTGGTAGTGCGTCAAAATATTTGCGTTGTGACAACGCAACGCAACGCGCCGTGTGGACTCACTATTACGGCGGCCGCTCCGTCCTTTTTCGCCAAGCAAAACAAGTAGCCACACGGGTGCCACTGCAAGTACAACGCGCAGGTCCTTATATTTACTATACTCTTTGGCGCAGGTGTGCAGTGTACGTGTTGCTTACAAGAATTCTGGCTAAATACATAGGCGCCGCGCAGGCGCAGTCATATATTAAACTTTGTGAATTAGTTTTAATTGAAAACTGTATTTACAGAACAGTATTAGAAGGAAAATTTATTTGAATATAGGTTAAGCGTAGATATACATTAATATATTACGGGCCTTATTCGGTGACCGCCTTCCTAAGATGACCCACCACCACCACTCACATTTTAAAAACAGTATTTATTCATGTCAACGTGCAAAATAACATTGCAGATTCTTGACCATTGTATTTTTAAATTAAATACTTATTCCATTCTATTCTAATGATGTTTTTTCTCTATATATCTTCATTGATGATTTCACAAGGTTTTGAAATTAAGTGGGCCTTAACGGGTGCCAGTACCTTAGAATAATAAAAAAAATTAAGGTGTAAAAATTAAAGAATACAGCACTCACGCATTGTTTTATGTTTGTACATACACTAGAAACAGAAAAACTTATTTGATACGTAGCTTTTCAATGATGATGACACTGTGTGACCAGCTGCGTAACGAATTAGTTCACCTTAGTCGCAACTAGCGACATCTGGTGAGTGTAAGATTATTAGCCCTTATTACTGCATAACGTTTTTAAGCGACAATTCTTTACGTTTCTGTAACCAGTTGTTCCCGTGTATGTCGTCCGAGGTGACTGAGGAAAATAAAACAAGAGATGATCTACCTAATAATAACTCCAAATAATAAATAACTTTTTTTATATAGAATAGGGTGATAAACGAGCACACAGTCCACCTGATGGTAAGTAGTTGCTGCGGCCCATAGACATCTACATCTATCCTCCATTAAAAATCAAAATGCAGATGCGTTGTCACCCGTGAGGACTGAGATGGAATGCCTCGTTTCCAGTAAAAAGGGTATCCGGTTCTCTACACTCACCATACGAAATACAGCAGCATTAAGCTACTATTTCACGCTGGTATTCTGTGAGAGCGTGGTCCTTCCCCGGTCGACCCATTCGTGCTACAATTATACTACTAATATAACTGCAGCATGGCTCTACCACGTAATAAAACTGTGGTTGCCAAACCCCTGTCAAGCATGGCAACTACGGCAAATATCAACTCTATGAGGCATTATATTGGGGAGGCCTATGTTCAGCAGTGGACTTTGATAAGCTGAGATGCTAATGATGATGAACGACATCTTCACCCAGTATTTCTTTTTAATACTACTAGTAGTAAAAACTAGTACTACTTATTAAAGTTGGTAAGAATTATTTCGCCCATATCCGCACAGAAACAGTTAGCCACCGCAGAGTCTACATAGCCTGAGGATGCCTTGTGTAAAGGCGGAACACGTGTCATATTATCGTCGGTGGTGTGTCTTTCCTAGTGAAGTGATGTTGGGAGTAGTGGTGCTGAGATTAGTGGTGACGGGAATAGTGCACACAATTGAGGAAGGGTGGGAGGTGCTCTGCAGACTAAGTAAGACACGTCATTTTATTTCATTGAGCGGATATAGGCGAAGTAATTCTAACCAACTTTAATATAATGGATTTCCGCAAAGTAACGTCTGATTCTATTAATAAGTAGTACTACTACTAATATCACATAAACTTTCAAGGCTGCCGATGTTTTGCTTTTTTTTATAGTGTTGGCGCCATCTTTATAGATTTAAACGACATGTCTTTTCCACGTCACGTCCAATCATACTTATTATACTCTTTGCACTGAACGACAGACACTTGTATAAAGAAACATCCTAGTCTCCTAGATTGCACCTGCGACATGCAGTGCGGATAGCCGGTCTTACGGGCAGAATCTCGATTCACATGCAATTGTGACCTGAAATCATAGGTTCGCCCGTCCCAATTTCAGAATTAGGAGGAATACGAGTTTTTTCCCGACCAGTGATAAATTAAAAAATAAGTGACTTTTATAAGAATAATTTATAATCTATAATGAATAAAAAAAGTTTCTGTTTTTGTTTCATGATAACTATTTGCCTTTTCATACGGTGATCAAAGAAGTGACCTAGGGCACTCTCCACCACTGCCCCGATATTGTCATCGATTGCATTGTAGTAAATTTAATTATTCTGCTTGCTTTATTTTGGATGCCTTGGTTTCAGTGGAATGTAAAAACTTGGACAGTAGCACGTTTGCAAAAAGCAGCCAGTCACTATCAAAAATTGTTTATATATTCTTATGATACAAATCAATCATCAAAACAGAAAACGAAACTTTTTTATTCAATATGGATTGTAAACAATACTTATTGAAAGTCACTTTTTTCATTGACGACTGGTTCGCAAAAACACTTCTGTCCTGGGAAGAACCAGCAAGAAACCCAGCGGGACTATTTTTTAACAATATACATATTATACATTTTTATGACATTGAGTATATTAATATAATTAAACATTTAATAAAGTATGCTGGAATTTATTAACTAGTTTATTGTGAAATAGGATATCCGAATTTGCAGCTGATGGTACATGTTATTAAATTAAGCTTAGTTTTATGTACCGCGACCCAGATCATAACAATTATAATATATCCATAGCTATATGGAGTGACCTAGGAGTAGCTAGCAGGAACAGTCGATGCCCCAGTGGCCTAGTTCATTGAAGAGTATACTGCGCATGTACTTGTCGGTAACTGAATGGTTCCTTTGACTTCACTGACCGAATGTGCACCTGGGCAACCGGCGGTTTTAGCAGCAACAAAAGTTTAAGATGTCTATCATGATTTGATGGGTATTTTGAAAGTATGTATATTGATTTTAACATATAGTTGGGGACTTATATAAATAATGTAAGCCACCCTAATGGGATCATTTAATAATATACCTATACATTTGTGTTTTCGCTAGCCCTTTTAAAATATAAATAAAATAATTTACACCATTCGGTAATTTTTTTATAATATATAAAAAATTCTCATTAAAATAAATTATAATAATTACGTATTATTTTTTAGGAATAAAAATGACGGAATTAATTGAAAACAAGAAGTGTGAACTAGCAACACAATATTGTTGTCTTGAAGAAAAATGGCCGATTCACGTAATGTCAACACCTTTGCAGCTTTTATAGCCAAAAAACGAGTAATTTGTCCTTAAAACGATACGAAAAACGTTATTTAAGTGGCAGTGAAGTGTTGAAGTAATTGTGTTTATATAGATATTATTAAATTATTATTATTTCCAATAATTCGTATAAAGTGGTTGTATTGTTGGATTGTATTGAACTGTTGATTTCCATGCACGGTACGTATTTTCTTGCTATTTCCTGCTTATGCTTAAATTTTGTATTTATGTAGTGAATAGTTAATCATATACATAGTTTTTATACCGACGTGTGTTAAAATATTTCTCAATTGCTATTTAAAGCACCATATTTTTTTAAATATGTATTTTAATACAAAGCTCTATGTTCATCAGTTTCTCGTGAATTACCCATAAAAACAAAATTTTATATCCAAAAAAGAACGATTTTGGAAATTTAGCTTCCTTTAACATTTGATATATTATTATATGATTGTCTTGCTGACTCATATATTATGTTTCCTTTACACAAAAAAAATCGCACGCATGCAATTTAATATCTCGTTACACATTGCTAGAATTGACCTTACCTTGTGGTTTTTTTGAAGTACGTTTCTTTGATAACGGTCGAGTTCAAAGTTAATGATAATTTACTTTGTGTGTTTGTTAAATATTAGGATATTTTACATTTATTGATCAAGTTTTATAAATATAATATCATGAGGGATTTGTAAGTTTATCAAAGTCTAATTATTTAGCCTTCTAATTTCTAAGTAAGAAAATGTAGATTATTTTAAAGCTGTGCACAAAACTGGTATTTTTGCATTTTTGGATATTTTACATTGTCAGATAATTTAAGTATAACAGAGCAAATTTCCTAAACACCAGGAGTTGAATAATTTAATGTGCTCAATATCTAAGAAGAATTATAGGAAGGCTGACTATATTTAAACATGGGCTGAGTGTTTGTGTGTGCTAAAGTCGCAGACCTCGGAGCTCCATTTTTCAAAATGACATTTTTATACTGTTGTATTACTAATTTCTGACTGCATCTAATAGAAAAACTCCCAAAGCCCCCTTAAGTATATTATGTATATAAAATTAAATTAAACCTACAAAAAATTTCGTGGTGAAGTTTTTCGTGCCTCCTGTAAATTTTCTTTTGATGGAGTTACGAGGTCTGCGACTCCGACGACTTATCGCCACCGTTTCTTTTATACGGTAACACTATAGTCCACACAAAAATAACTCCGAAATTTTCCGCAATATTTTAAGCTAGGCTTTACCCATGATTTCCCTCGATTTCCCCTCAAAAGGCGAACTTCCCCTCATTGTGGAAACACTGCTCGTCTGTGCGGGCGCTGGACACTCACTAAACAGTTGTGGTCAATGATTTCAAAAGGAAGGATAGGCCCATCTAAATATTTTACTCATAACTTTTTCATACAAGAAAAAGTAGCGCATCTGTCATAATATAAATGTCACGTCATATCAAAATACAGCGTAACCGGGGTCGGACTTCATAGTATAATTATCCTAATTGTACCATTATTTCATAGTTTGTAGTATGTAGTATCGTAATAATACTAAGCGAAAATACCATAATTTTACCTAAAGGTCGAGATGTATTATTATTGGGTCCCTTTACATTTTAATACTAACCCTACAATATCGAGAATTTCTGTATTGTACATGAGTACCGTGTTTTTTTAATAAAATTAGAATTAGCTCCCTTTCTGGTCAATCGATGCTCGATTGATGCATTTATGTTGCATCCTTGATACAACTATAATGAGGGGCTACCACGATAAAAACTCTATGCTCCAGAAGCAATCGGTTTGAAAACAGAATTTCAAATAATTTTATGAATCAGATCTTCAGATTCAATTAAGCAGATATGGTTTCCTTTGTACTCTTTTCCTTTTACCCTTATTGAATATAAAATACATTAGGTACCAATATTCAAAATTTAACTTAAACTAAGTTTTTTAGACAAAAATTAAACAGAAATTAAAATAAAACCGTCAAAAACCGAAACGTATAGATAAACTAGACGCGTGACGCCAAAATCCTGGCACATGGGAAAAAAGAAACATGAAACGTCAAACGCGATATAATTTTTTTAAAACAGTATAGTTTTATTTTCCATGTATAATATTTTTGAGGGTCTGAATCCAACCCTGGCCTAATCTTGGTAACGTAACTAAAATAACTGTAAAATAAAATGCGTTTATATAATAATTTAATTGTAACAAAATTAATATAAGGTTATTTACCGATGATACAATATCTCATGTTTGTTAAAATCTTTGTAGCGTTATTTTTGCATTCTTTTACTATGCAACTAGACATATTTATGACAGGCAAATCTGCACTGCGCGCGCACCACTGTCGACCGATTCGCGTTGGCCCTAAACTGTAATTTTAGGGCCAACGCACTGGTCCATTTTAGTTGTTCAGTCGACCCGATCCTTACGCATATATAAGTCAATGCTTGCGGTACGGTGTACCGCAAAGCGTGGCGCAAATTCATGCAAGGCGTTGTCCCTATACGTAGTAGTAATACCTCAATGGGTAACGTAATGTTTTTATAATTCAAAAAATTTAGGACCTTCGCATTGTAATGATGAGGAAGCGAATTTCTATCAACCCCACCTGTAAGACTTGCATCTGTGTAGATGTGAGGTGCGGCGCGGCGGGGGCAAGCGGGGCACGTGGGGCATGTGGGGCGCCGCGGCGGGCTGGTGGTGCGGTGCGCTGGCGGCCGCGCTGCTGCTGCTGCTCGCGCTGCGCTGCCGCCGCCCGCGACACAAAGTTGTGTACGACGCCTCGTGGGCTCCTCGCGCTACATTCATTCATCAGGTGGGGGTGACATATCCGCTTTCAATATATCATAAATAAATATATTCTATGTATCAACTTATACTGAAAAGTAAGAGGCAGTATAATCATAATTTTTTTTTTAAATAAAATGAAGTGACAAACGGACTTAAAAAATAGCGAGAATAGTAGCTTAATTCTGCTGTGTTTCGTATGGTGAGTGCAGGGAACTGGAGACCCTTTTGCCTGGAAACGAGGCATTTCATCTTAGTCCTTACGAATGACAAGGCATATTTATGGGTCACAGTGTACACTTAATATCAGGTGACCTGGGTGCTCGTTTGTCACACTTATTTTATAAATAAACACCCACTCAGGCTGTGATCCTTTCAATTTTAACCCACTGAGTTGATAAGCCATGCTGGAATTTGGTTGCAGGAGTACATGGGTTAATACAGTAGCCAATTACTATGGGGACTATTTGCTAGTTGGTCACTTTAATATTATAAAAAACAAATCAACAGAGTTAAATGAAAAAAATTGACATTAGTTGTAAGATGCTAATATGGGAAATCTCAGAAAGATTATCACTTCCGACAGGTGGCTATAATAGGATCTCAGTTACGCCAGGTACAAGTGTTGAATACCGAGACTGGTGACTGGAAGCAACGTCAAAGTTTTAAACGTCTAGTAATGCGATTGTCTATCCGGCCTCCTTTGGTATTAAAGGTGAAGAATTCATATTTTGTGTTCCGGTCTGCGGGGTACAGGATGCCAGTACAATTACAGGCTGTGAAGCATTCCATCTTAGCCCTCAGAAGTATTGTATTCAAACATGTAGCTTTGTTTGAAGTTGGCTGTAGATGTCTATGGGCGAATGCAGTATCGGACTACGTCTTCTATCAAAAGTTGTCGAAAGTACTCAGACTTTATATCTTTTATAAATATCAGGTAGTTGTATCGCCATCTCTTTAAAGTTATAAAGGTCTACGAAAATGTTGTTTAGTTTTATTCTTGTGATAATAATTAGATTTTTATACGCTTTACTTAAAGATTTATTTTATAAATATCCATGATTTTTACTTTTTTTTATCACGAATTTAAATATTTTTATCTTTAGGTGCACATTGTAAGCGGCAGCAAGGCTTACGTATCACACGCCACTGTGCCGGAGCCACGTTGCACACACACGAAACTAGCCGGCGCTCCCTCCGACCGCGTAGTACCTACGCCCTCCAACGATCTCACTCCTACATCACACCCTGATCCTCCTCAAATCATCATTGTTCAGAATTTCACTCAAAACACTGTTGCGCAAGAAGCATCCAGCTCCGAGTCTCGACCTCCTCCCCCCTCCTGTGCCCCGACTTCCGCCCCCAGACTATTGGTTGCACAAACGACACTTTGACTACAAGTATCCCTGCATTCCTCGACCTTTAGCCCAATTAGTCAATACTGATCTTGGCGCTGACTTATCGAGAGAATCTCGAGCAAAAAAATATAGCGCTACAAGATCACCGTCTTTAGAAAAAGACGACAAATCCCCTTTTATCAACACCGAGTCTGATGCTGAAGTATTTGGTTTTGAAGATTTATCAGTAACTAAAATGGGTGATTTAGGAGAAGCTTCGACAGATATGTCACCGGGTAACCTGAAAAGATATCGATCCGTCAGTACTAGGTTGAATATATGCAGTGTTAATGAAAATCCTCACGGCGATGGAATAGAAAGAGTTGAAATGCAGAATTCACCTCGGGTTCTTGAATGTAATTCAGCTAAAGATAAATCTTCAGGTTCTAAGTTTGACTTTTCTCCGAAGTTAGTAGCTGAGAGCCTGAGTTCTCCTCGATTTTACACACCGCCTGAAATGGTCTCACCTGCATTTTTCGCGGAACCATCTCCAAAGTCAGTTTACTATGACAGTGTTAGATCACCAAAATTCTTTCCTGAAACTCCTCGTGACGCTGAGGTGCCGCAGTCGCCGAGAGCGCTAAGTGATCATTTAAATAGAACTAATGGTTTATGTGAAAAACCTAGCTCTCCTAAAGGTTTAAGTGCTCGACCTAGTCCTAAAATTCATAGTTATAATAAAGAGAATTACTTCACTTTTGAACAAGTAGCTTTAGAAGAAGGGGCAGTGAGATCACCACCGCGTCCAAAAAGGTATGGTGGGAGGTATTCCATTGAAAGAGAACGATTTACGCCCCCAGCAGATAAGGAAGTTAAAAAGTATAGAAGACATAATAGTTGCGATAATAATTTAAAAAATAATAATGAAAGTTTAACGAAGTACGATGACAACAAGGAATGTGACTCAAAAGTACAAATTATAGAAAAAGACGTAGTTGATTGCTGTACTAAAATCGACTTAATAGATATTGAGAATAAAAGGGAAATTGAGAAAAAGAATGAATTGACGCCGAGTGAATCGAGTTCAGCGCACGCGAGACGACAACGTCTAAAATCGATATCTTTAGATTCTGACAACGCTAAAATTATTGAACAAAATTTAGGTTTACCAATAGCAAAGCAAATGAAAGATCAAATGAACGAAGCATACAAGAATCAGGAAACCAGTACGTCGTGTGAAAACATGGAAAGGCATACACAAATAACTGCTAGTGAAAGACTGGCTTTTAAGTTTGATAAAGATCAAAAAAATAAAAATGTTGAAACCGAAGATCCCAAATCTCCTGACCTTATTCAGAAAAAAGGATTACGCCAAAGTTCTGATACTCAGTCATTTTTAGACATGCCAAGGTTTTCACCGAAAGAATTTGAAATTACTGTAACGTCAGAAGAAGGATCAACTGTACCCGCTGAAACAAAAACGAAACGAAAAGGCAAGAATCTGCGAAATCTTACAATAGATTTATCGAAACGTGATAGTGAGTTAGAAAAGGAATTGTTAGAATTTGAAAAATTGTACACTGACGCAGAAGAAAAAAAAGTAAAAACACCTACGTTGAAGGTTAAAGCTACATCTTTAGATTCGTCCGAGACGGTTAATCTTTCTTTACCCCAGAAAAAGGCTCTAGAGGTACCACAAAATTCCATATCGGTACCAAATACTCCAAAAAGACAGTTAAAACGAATACTTGCTCAAAGAAGTATAAAACATGACATTTCAGGAGCGAAAATGGGCTACAACTCTTTACAGTGTAATGCAGAGCAAAGGCGGCTTTATATGAAAGGTCAAGATAGTGGTATTTTCCTAAAGGATAACCATGCTAGTCTTATGTTATATCAGGCAGGACCTTCACGGATAGGCTCTCGTACTATGCGTTCATTTGAGGAAAATATTACCGATTTTACTGAAATTACCCCTGAGATTAACATTTCGGGAGTTGATTGTAGGCCTGGTTTGCCCGTTGAACCTGGGCAAACTCTTGGTTCCAATTTACTTAACTATAAACAAAATTTGAGTGTGTCTAGCACCAACTTAAAGACGTTACCAGAAGGTGTACCTTCAGACGATTTCGAACCGAGTGCGGGGGATGAGAAAATAATCAAGAAACTTCATAGGAGAAATTCTAATCAAAGCCTAATGTTGAGCACACATAGCTTGCAAAGTTCGAATTGTTCAATAAGCAGCGCCGGTGCATCTTGTCATAATTTGGCGTCAGTAAGAACGAGTATTTCGAATTTTAGTTTGAATTCTGAAAATAGGCAAAAGAAGTTGTCAATAGATAGAAGAGATTCTAATTCGTCTCTCATAAATACTGAACATTTAACACCGACAACACGCGTTATATGTTCCTCTAACAACAATCTTTCAGGGGAGGGGTCAAAAAATTGTCTTTTGCAAAGACGCGGTTCAAACAATAGCTTAACATTGAACATTCTTACTGCAAATAATCTCAGTAGGCACTCTAGCAATAGTTCACTTAATAAGGAAGCCAAGGTCAGTCACAAAAAAGGGTTGTTAGAGCGCAGAAGTTCAAACACATCCTTAACCCTCAATATCAATACTTCTAATCCTCAGCTAATAAGTAATCAAGGGCTTAGTGTTTCAAATTATAATCTTAATGGATCTACATGCAACCTAAGCATGTATAATAGTAACCAAAGCATTGACAATCCTACGATTGAACCGCGTAAAGGAATTTTAGAACGACGAAGTTCAAACACATCTTTAACTCTAAATATTCAGCCCCAAGAACCAAGAGATCTGGAAATTGATGAGACTCTCCTTGACAATAATTTAAAAGAGTTACCACACCGGGACAGACATAGAAAATCACTGAGCACAGAAAACTTAATTCCCAAATCATACAAGAATAGAACGAAGCTACGTACCACAGACAAAGGCATTGGATTTGGGTCACATGATAATTTGTGGTCGTCGTCTTACGCAACAGAACCAGAATACTCGGAGAATTTAACGTTCGTGTGTGGCGATCAGGAAAACGAAATTATATATGCGTTTGGTCGTCAAGATGACCCTAATTTTCAACAAGGTTTCGTTAAAAACATAACTACCAAGCCTTTGAGCCCGCAAAGCACTTCTGAAGATTTTAGGTTGTACTTGGCCAATATGCAACATTTGCAAAATGCATCCAGCGTCTTAACACGGCATCAGTTAAGAGATTTGAACGACGTATTCCAAAACGGGTACTCTAAAGTAAAATGTCACAGTATGAATGAGGGTCAGCATTCCTGTTCAGGGCGTGTTGATCTTAACACCGCCGAGGAAAATCCCCAGATGGTTATACCTGAACCAGTTGCGACTCAGCCTTGCTCGGAGTATCAAAAGATGTTATTGAGGAACTTACATCAAGAGTTCTGGGACATGCCGACAAATTTCCAAGAGAAACCAATTGTTTCAGGCTCCCATCCAAAAAACAGATACAAAACTATTTTGCCCAATGAACATTCAAGGTTCATCTTACGCGCAGACCCAGGTACCATCGGCGAAGGATATATAAATGCCAACTTTATAAAGGTACGTTTAGCAAATAAAAAATATCTCTTATTGACTATATGTTCGTTGCCGGACCGTGCCCTGTTCTTTCTAATGGATGTGTTAACTATTGAAGTAGATGTCTGTCAAATATATATCTGTGTCTGATAAGCCTCTGTCTGAAGGCGTGTGACTATTATTAAAATTGTTACATTAAGATCTGTAAATGTAAAACAGCCTACAAAATTACCACTGCTGGATGCTGCTCTCGGGTTACAGTTAGCTGCAGTGCTGCAGTGCAATTTTAACCCATATCTTCCCAGTGATCCATTTTTGAAACGGTAACATTGATATTTTTTTTAAATATAAAAATTACAAATCAGTATTATTATTGCGTACGGGTAACACCGGATTACTTGTCTGTCAAAATCGAACGCCGCAAAGTGCAATGCGCGCGGATTTTGATTGGCAATTATTGTTCTCTTTTTAGTAATTTTCACAAAATGGCGTCACACAGTCGGTAAGTAAAATGTTTTTATGTTTATTGTAAAATTATGTATTTCCTTGCAAATAATAATTGATTTTACTGTTATTTATAATATCAATAGTGAAACGAATAAATATTTTGAGTATTTAGTGTACATGACATGTTTTCTGATACTGTTCCATTTTTCAAACAATGAGAACATATTACTCTGTTAACATGGAGAAAATGTATGAATATATTAAGGCTTAGTTTTGCATGCTTTTTGTTTTAGATTGACGGTAGATGACATAATTTCGTATTTAAAAGAACATGATGATGTACTGGAAGCTGACGTTTTATATAACTCTCTCCGAAAATTTGATAAGAGCGACAACGACAGTGGTAATGAAGAATCTACTGATATCAACTGCTTGTCTCGGCATCAGTTATTAGCAGAAGCAGAACTTAAGCCAAGGTTGCTTTAGAGGAACGGATTGACAAAATACACTAGAAAGAATCACAAGAGGAACAGTCCACTCCAAACACTTCACAAAACCCACGCCCTCAAAAACAAAGTAAGCGTACGATTTCGAGGAAATTGCGAAATCTGGTTATCGCACAAAAAGCGGAAAAAGAATGGATACCTCCCAGTTTCGTGGACGATTTTGTTAATCCCCAAGATTTTTTTGAGTTGGTTTATGATGAAAAGGTAATAGAACTACTGCGGACACAGAGAGAACTAAATGCAAAGCAGAAAGGACACGTCAATTTCTAAGTTAGTTCTTATGAAACCAAGCGATTCAAGAGTAACCTATTATTGTCTGGCTACAATGGTGTTGCTTGATACAGAATGTATTATGAGCAAAGCATTGATCCTGGTGTAGCAGCTTGTATGTCGAGAAATAGGTTTGAAGAACTACTGCGATTTTATCAAGCATGCGACAACACTAACCTACAGCTAGGACACAAATTTTGTAAGGTACGCCTTTTGTGGGATCTCCTCGATCCAAGATGGCTCAAATATTTTCCAGGCGACAGAAATTTAAGTGTAGACGAGTCTATGGTTCCATACTTTGGAAAACATCCCACTAAACAATATATTCATGGTAAGCCTATAAGATTCGGCTACAAAGCATGGGCTGTTTGTACTCGGTTAGGTTACCTAATTTATGGAGAACCATATCAAAAAGCTAGCACCGGACCACACATACATTATTTGGAGTCGGCGGATCTGTAGTTCTTGATTTGATATTAAAAATTCTACTTGCTAATTACAGCTTCTACATGGACAATTTTTTTACCTCAAAACCTTTGTTGGTGGAAATAAAATCTTTAGGTCACGTTGTCACTTGAATCATCCGGGGAAATAGAGTAGAAAATGAACCGCTAAAACATTCAAAAGACATGAAAAAAAATGAAAAGAGGTTCGAAATGAAACCACAGATGTGTCATCAGATATTATGTTGGTAAGGAACACATAAGGAAAAGTAAAAAGATGGTGCGATAAACAGAAGAAAGAAGTGGACCAGCCACGCTGCTTCACAAATTATAACAAATATATGGTAGGTGTCGATCGATTAGATCAAAATGTTAGCTGTTATAGAATCGGCATCAGGTTAAAAAGATGGTACTGGGAACTACTCATGTTTCTTCTCAACGTATGTATAAATTATGCTTACCGGCTATCCAGGTTATCGCCGACTGCTCAGGAAAAAGATGCCCATGTCCTTCACTAGGTATGTGGTGCAGTCGTACTTTATGACAAAATCCGTGACGAATAACGATAACAAAAGCGAAGCATGTACCCAAATCTTCTTTAGGTGTCATAAAACGCGTCCCTTCAAGCATTCGATTAGATCGAAAGGACCATTACGAGGGCGGCACTGAAAATTTCGGGAATCAAGGAAGTGACAGAACATTACTATTTAAAAATGTATTTAATGCTTTTCGAAGTATTCTCCGCGAAATTTGACACATTTTTCCATACGATGGAACCAATCAATGAAGCAACCATTCCATTCGGAAGTTGGAGTCTCCTAAATGGCCGTTTTGTAGGCGTCCACAGCTTCTTCAGGTGATAAAAATCTCTGTCCACGCAATTTATTCTTTATTTTAGGGAAAGTATAGAAATAATTATGGCTTAGGTCGGGGCTGTACGGCGGATGGTCTAATAATAGGAATACTAATCGTATATATAGGTCGAATAAGGAACTCAAGAGGAATAACATGGCCGGTTTTGGAGACAAACGTGGCCACCATTTTTTTTGCAACACTCCGTGAACGAACAATTTTTGTTGGCTATAACTCATTTTCGAACACTCAAACTCGTGACTGGTTTTTTGTTTCGGGTTCGTACGCGTATATCCAGGATTCGTCACCTGATACGATGTTGTATACAGCATTTGAGGATCCTGCGTGGAATCTTTCGAGAGTTCTGACGCACTAAGTAACGCGAGCCGTTTTTTGCTCTTCACAGATCGAATGCGGTATCCATCGGGAAAACAGCTTTTTTACACCTAATTGTTCATGCAAGATTATTTATATTTGACTCATGCCAATGTCTAAAGTTGCCTGAATTTCGCGGTATGTCAAGTGTCGATTATTCATCAATCAGCTTACGCACAGCATCAACGTTTCCTTGGGTGACTGCAGTTTTTGGATGACCTTGACGGACTCATCACTGATCTTGACACGTGCACGTTGAAATTCAGCAAACCAGTGATAAATTGTGGTTTTGGATGGGGCTTCATCACCAAATGCAGAATTTTTCCGATCAACCACTGTTTTTGTGTTAAACCACTTCGAAAGCATAATAAATCATCGCTCTTGAATTTTCTCGAGCCAATTCCATTTTCTCAACGACTAAACAAGTTTGACAAAATCTTTTGACAAGACCGAGAATCTTTTTTTTATAATTAAATGGTATTCGATTTTTAAAACCAAGGAGTTTTCAATTAAAAAGATTTTAATATGACAGGAACAGTGGAAATATTCCATTCCCGATACTTTTAGTGCAGCCTAGTACATAGTGGATAACGGCAAGCAGAGCCATTGTGGATTGTGCAATAAAAATACTACGAAAAAATGTGACAAATGTGCGGTTGCTTTGCATGCGAAATGCTCAGAAGTATTTGATACAACCCCGTAATATTACATCATTTATAGTCAACCAAATCTAAGAAATACCTTTTGACGTTTCACATTAATCATTCCGCAATAACTTTGCACAAGCGTACTTAAACGATTTAAAATAACCTTTTACGTAAATCCGAAGAATTATGAAGTTATCTATATTTCATTACAACGTTTATGGTTTTTTATCACTTATTTCAATTTGAATTTTTCAAAGAAAGCAAAATATTAAAAAATAACTAGCTTTAACTTTTTTTACTTGACGTCGTTTCAATGACATGTGTATGTGTATTACGTAGTGTTTGATATTAAAATTCATTGTTATGAACGAATAATCGGAAAAATATTCAAATAATCGGTAAAAATATTCTAATAATCGAATAATTAATTTCTTTAATGTGTTATTTGTTTAATTTAATTTTTATTTTCAAAATTCCTTAAATTACATGAATCATGAATATATCAAGTTTATTTTTTTCACTTTGTCAAAGTAAATTTTTGTAGGAAAAGGCCTCATATACAAGGCCGTGCTAAAATAAACACTACATAATTTCAATATCCCGCCATTTCGGTACCAGTTACTCAACTCCACAGAATCAGTAATTCATTTTTGAGGCGATGTATACGCTTTTATAACAAAATGCCAGAAAATATACAAAATTTGACGTAAGTACACAAAGTTCAAAAACTTTATTAAACTAAGTTTGTATAAAAAGAGTTATTTTAATATTGAGGAATTTATGGATGATAATAATCCCTGGGAAGGGTGATCGCTACCAAGCTATTTCTAATTTGTTTTGTGTTGTTAATTGTAACACGCATGATTGTATGCTCTTATTTTTTTTAAACTAGTCCCGTTGAGTTTCTTGCTGGTTCTTCTCAGGACAGAGGTTTTTTTTGCGAACCAGTGGTAAATGAAAAAAGTGACTTTCAATAAGTGTTATGATTTCTGAAATTTATGCGAACACTACATTTTGAATAAAACTAAATTTACGGATTTTATCGCGTTTATTTCACTACTTTTACTTATTTTATTATGGATTTATTATATTATTATAGATGACTGAAAGAGACATTAATTTTGACTGCATTATTGAAAATCAAATAATAATTAATATAAACAACGACATCCCTACTAGTTGTACTGAAAGTGATTGAATAAATTTATTTTTAATCTAGTTTCAATCTTAAGTTTTTATAACTGTGCCTCTAGAAATAAGCAGTAACAACAAATACGAAGAAACTGATAAATCTTGTGTTTTAAATTATCCGGTTTTTAATTTATTCAAACCAAACTGTAAATGATTACCAACTCTAAATAATCGATATCGATTTTTTTAAGAATCGAATAATGTGCGTTCCCATTTTTTGGTTGGCATGCTTGGTGCAATAAGTCTGACAGCTGTCAAAATGTATTTCTTAGATTTCGTTGACTATAATATGTCTTAGTTATTTTTGAATAAACTTATCTAAACTGCTTCTTATCATGCTTTTATTTGGTCTCCTTTACTTTCTCTCTACAAAGAAAATACATCAGCATATGTTCCCAATTTTCCACAATTGGATCAGTATTGTAATTGAAAAGGTCAATGACTAATATTTTTTATTTCATAAATGTGTTACTTTGCCCTGTAGTGTAAGCAAAGAGTAAGGACCTGAGGGGAAGCTTCCTAACAACGTCGAAAATGTATACCTATTTTGATATGGTTGTCACCTGATGAATGTGAATAATTTAAGTAAAAAATAACAATATTATATAGTATAAAACAACATTTTCCGTGTAGTGGCGGCTGAGAATATCCACTACCCCATATCTTCCCTTGGATTTAGTAAGAGGCGACAGAGGGAGGCAGGCAGGAGATGGGCAATAGCATATTCCTGATGACAACAACTATACAATAAAAAAAGGGAATGGACATCCCCCCATGAAGAACGACACAAAAAAACTGCCCCCAGTCCCCGGCGGCCCCGCTATTCCTGGCTACGGTGGCTACCATGGTAACGGCGGGGCAGGGGGTGCTAAGAATCTCTGGTGGAGGTTCGGTTGCCACCTATGACGACTCGACCTGGCAACATTTAACGCACGCACCCTGAGGACTGGCGAAACGTCACTGGGGGGCGACCATCTGTCCCAAGGAGGTGTCGGATTTATCGTCCACAAGTCTCGTCAACAACGTTCTAAAGATTGAGAGTGTGTCGACGAGAGTAGCGTACCTGATACTCAGAACACAATCATTAAACGGTATTCGCTGAAGGTCATACAAGTTTACGCACCAACCTCGGCATATCCCGATGAGGAGGTGGAGGAAATGTATGAGGATATCTCTAGAGCCATGCATTCCTCCAAACTGCACTATACGGTGTTGATGGGAGACTTCAACGCAAAACTAGGCACAAGAGAAAGCGGTGAGCTAAAGTTAGGGAAAATTGGAATAGGGCAACGGAACCCAAGGGGCCAGCAGCTGGCCGACTTCATGGAGAAAAATTGACTTTTTGTGATGAACTCCTTCTTCCAGAAGCGCCCCTACAGGAAGTGGACCTGGTCGAGCCCCGACGGTTCGACAAAAAATGAGATTGACTTCATTATGACGATGAGCCGTCAACTGTTTAGTGATGTCTCAGTGATCGCGAGGGTGAAAACTGGCAGCGATCACTGAATGGTTCCAGGTACACTGAACCTATACGTTAAGTTGGAGAGGTCTCGTCTAATTAAGTCAACGCTCCGTCCCTCTCGTGCTCTGATGCAAAGTCCCTTTCAGCTCGAGTTACAAAACTGTTTTAAGTACCTAGAAGATTACAATGCAGTGGACGATATGAATGACAAGCTCGTGGAAACTGTCCATGCGGTCGTAGCTAAGTTCTGCAAGACTCGCCGCAGAAGATCTCTCCGATCACACTATTAATCACATGGATGTTAGACGGGAAATGAAGCTGCAGTCGTCAGCAGATTTGGCAGCATACAGGCAACTGAACAGACAGATCTTCAAATACATGCGGCGGGACTTACGCAACTTCAGTACAGCTCGTATTGAAGAAGCGATCGAGCGGAAACAAGGCTCCGAAATCTTTGCCAGGGATTGTCTGTCAGAAAGAGCCAAATGTCGGAGCTAAAGACTGAGTGTGGCAGCATCGTTTTCGGGTCACCTGAGATTTTGAGTGAGATTCAGAGGTCTATGGGCAGCTGTACACGTCATCGTCGGAGCCACATGCAAGTGTGAGTAGCGATCCAAGAGCAAGTCTTATCCGACACTATTCCGAAGATATCCCGGACGACAGTCTGAGCGAGATTAGAATAGCTCTCTAGCACGTTAAAAACGGCTAGTCCCCGGGCGAGGACGAAATTACAGCGGAGCTTCTGGAAGTGGGTGGAAAACCGGTACTTGAAGTCCTTCGGAAGCTCTTCAATTCCGTCCTCCATGGTGGCACTACTCCCGAGGCGTGGAGCAGAAGTGCGGTGGCCTTGTTCTTCAAGAAAGGTGACAACGCTCTCTTGAAGAACTACAGACCGATATCCCTTCTGAGCCGCGTCTACGTGCTGTTTTCGAGAGTCATTACGAATCGTCTCGTACGCAGACTCGATGATTTCCAGCCTCCCGAACAAGCTGGTTTCCGAAAAGGCTTTAGCACCATAGACCACATATATACCCTTCGGCAAATTGTACAAAAGTCTGAAGAGTACAATCTGCCACTTTGCCTGGCGTATGTGAACTATGAGAAAGCCTTTGATTCCGTCGAAATTTGAGTGGTGCTGCAGTCCCCTCAACGTGCCAAGTGGACTGTCGGTATATCGAAGTGCTGAAGTGTTTGTACAGTAGGGCTACGATGGCTATCCGAGCACAGAAGCAGAGTACGAAACTTATCTAACTGCAGGGAGGTGTAAGACAGGGTGACGTTATATCCCCGAAACTCTTCACCGCTGCATTGGAAGACGTTTCCAAGCTACTGGACTGGATACGATACGGTATTAACATCAATGGCGAGTACATAACTTATCTTCGATTTGCCGACGATATAGTCCTTATAGCAGAATCGCTGGTGGACCTAAGCACTATGCTCAATGACCCCAATAGTGTCTCCCAACGGATAGGCCTTAAGATGAATGAATGCATGGTCAAAACAAAGATCATGTTTAATGTTCATGTCACACCTATGCCGGTGACATAGCTTCCCCTCTGGTCGGTTTCTTTACTATTAAAAAAATGCTGACAGGAGTGATGAATAAACAGCCATGTTGTTCTAATATTGGGGAGTCCACCATTATTATTATTTGTGCGTTTTCATCTCTGCGGGCAAAGGCGGAGTGCTTCCCAGCCTTTCTATTTAACGCAGAAAAAGGTTTCCCCGTCACTAAATAGCACTTCTGACGTCACAGTAGGTAGAAAAATTATGGTAACGTAGTTTTCATATAGACCGCAGTACCTGTGTTGTCTATTTAGATGTATGTCTTAGGTTAATCTTGATACATATTTGTCAGAATGGGTCCCACATATATGCAATAAATTTTGAAACCATATAACTTGTTATCGCCTTTTGCTGACGATATACAAAAAATGAACGTAATCGGTCCAGTAATTAGGTCAAAAAGTAGAGTTTTAATTTTAAGCAAATTTGAACACTCTATAGAACTGGGTCACTAAGTCAATGATTCAATGAACTTGAATCCTTGAACATTAAAAAGCGACGTTGCCACGCAGTGCAAACTATTGGTATTGCGACATATCGACAGCGGTGTCTTTTGTCGGCGTGCCACCCGCGTGCAACGTTGTCACTCTTCCAAGGGGTCAAGGTACGTTGTCTAAACAGAGTGTTCACTTTTACTGAATTTATTTTAATATTTATTTTGTTTGAAAATTTCACTTTTTTATTTTACGGGTTTTAATTTAATATTTAATTTTTCTACACTTCTAGGGACTAGTATTACTTGTGGTTTCATTTATTGCATACATGTGGGACCCATTCTGTATAATATTATACATTGAAATTTCCATATTACTACAAAAATCTTTGAACATTAAAACGTATTGAGCCGTATTTACAGATTTACTAAAAATAAAACTTCTCATTTACTCACTATAAATGTTCGTATTTCAGGGGCATGAATATACCAAAAACAGCTATATAGCTACACAAGGTCCGCTTCAAAACACCATGTACGATTTTTGGATGATGGTCCAACAAAATACAGAGGATTTTCTAAATGAAAAAAGTGAGCCAATGTCTTCGGGAACTGTCATTCAGAAGATTGTGATGCTTACCAACTTTGTCGAGAACAATCGTCAGAAGTGCGAGAAGTATTTTCCATTAGAATTAAATGAGGAAATAACAATAACAAGCCCTGAATTAACAAGGTTTTTTAGTGAAACAGAAAGTGTTAAAAACAGTTTTGTAATTAAAAATACTGGTATGGTTAAAAAATCCGGCTACACTATACGAAAATTGAATGTGAAACATTTAATACCGAGAGTTGATGAGAAGAGTGAAAGTGTAATAACAGTATACCATTACTGGTTTCACAATTGGGCAGACCATAAGTGTCCAAAGGATGTTAATGCATTGTTAAATTTAGGTTTGGACGTGTTGAAGGAGCAAAGTTATAATTTTAGCGAAAGTGGTGAAGAGAAAGACGAACAGTGCAACTGTTACGATAGTCCAAAACCTGATCATAAGTTCGTGTTTCCACCATTAGTGTCTGAGAGTGTTGCTTGTCCTGTAACTGTTAAGGTATCTTCTCCACTTGATTTGTCTGCAGAAAATAAGTCACCACCAATAATCATACATTGTTCAGCCGGTATTGGTAGAACTGGCTGTCTCATAGCTATTTTAAATGGTATAAAGCAGCTAACTAATGAACAGAAAGTCGATGTTCTAGGTATAGTTTGCAACATGAGATTAAATAGAGGTGGTATGGTACAGAATTCTGAACAATATGAATTAATTCATAAGGTTCTATGTCTGTTTGAACAGGCATGTCTACCCAGTTTATAGCTACGCTAGATAAATAGTTGCTAATAAGAGCTAATATATAAAAGCAAGCTGTATCAATACAGACGATATTTTTTTTATTTATACTGTTAATAATTTATTTGTGAATTGAATGTGTATTTGTTAGATAAATTTTTGGGTATTTCTTATAACTTCAAATAAAATTAATTTTACTATTTTCAAGAAATGTTAGAGTAAGAATAAATTTAAAACAAGTTTAAACAAATTTTGTAAATTATTGATTTAATTCTTGTTAGATCCATAGAATATATTTACAAATTGGAGTTTTTAAGTTTAGACTGAAGTTCCATTTAGTTCCTAGTCAGTCATGTCTCCGTAAAAGGTTTTTGACAAGTTTGAGAATTTTTTTATATAAGATATTAAAAATTGTACAAAGATAAATTTTATATTTCACTAAAATAAAAATGAACACCGTTTCCAAGTCAAAGAACTTTTAACATTGACCGTTTTTAGCAGATAAAAAACTGTGATAAATTCTTACAAGCTATATTCTAAATTTGTTGATATATCCTTTTAACAATATAAAATTTAAGCTTAATTTGTTTTCGTCCCTCGCTGTAAGTTTTTACTTGTAATTTTTTTATTGTAAATATTTTCTATTGATATTGTTTTATAATGTCCACATATTTTTATTAGCTTTATTAAATACTATGCAATCTTTGCATTAATTATGAATGTGGCTAATTTTGTAGTGGAATGTGGTAACAAAATAATTTGGTAACCAAAAAGAGGAGCATAAAATTGTTTCCTTGTTTAATTAATTTTTAATATTATTAGACTTTTTTTCGTATGAGCCATCTTAGATAGATCATAAACTAGCACAGTTAATACCTTTAAATTCGGTTTCTTTTCAAGGCAACATTGAATCTGATATCATTCAGAATCGTAAAAAATATTAACTTTAAATAATGTTCTTCCATAATCTGTGGTCATGATAGAATTCGAAAACTTGACTAAAATGACGTAAAAACAGGAGTTGCTGTAAAGCTAAGAAATACTTTCTTAATTTGTGCCTTGTTACAAAAATGGTGACTGTAATTTCACACATAAGTTTTTTAAACATTAACAAAATATCCTCTGTTATATTTGAATTTGTTGTATTTGTATTGTATTTTACTTTTGTAGTTTAATTCACTAGTTTCCTAATTCATGTAAAAATGGGCCTGTCTCACGTACAAATTTAACCTTCTTTAATAAAAAAGTAATTGAGGCATGCATAGTCCCCAGAATAAGTTATTATAGAGAGCCTTAAATATCAACGTATTCTATAGACATTTTATAAAGAATTATGATGTTGTTAACAAGAGAGCAACCGTGTAGTGGCGGTGTAAGAATATCCACTAGTAGTATATATTGTCCCGCGCGTGTCGTAAGGGACGACAGAGGGAAAAAGCAGCGTCATCCTGATATGTTCTTCAAATTATTCCTATCAACCAGCCCATAAAAGTCTTCCTCATAACATCTCAAATTAATAAAAGAAACTGTTGTTGCTTATTCGCCTGCCAAGCGTTGCAAATATGTCAAATATCCCCTATGAAGTAATTCAAATGGTAGCCCTACGTTCAGCAGTGGATTTTTGATAAGCTGTAGCAGTAACATGAGCTGAGGTTGAGTACCTATGGTTACATTACTATATTAAGTAATGGGAAAGATTATGATTGAAATCAATAAGATATGGGATAGGGGTATTCCAGACCCACGTGGATTCAGTGACAACTTGAGAATCCGGGGAGAGTTGTACTGTCCGTATATAATTCGTCTACAACGACTAAATAATGGGGATGCAGACTAAGTAACTTTTTTGTTTCGGTATCAATACGTCGATTGCGATTATATCTTACGCATTAAGGTCACCGGTATCGCACAAAAATTAACTAAAAATTTATCTAAATTTGTTATACATATATTTTATGTAAATATAATTGTGGATTGATGTTTGATTGGCATGGTATTATAGACAACCCTGGAGACAATAGTATGTTTGAATTAGGTGATCTTTTCACTAACCTACGATACGCAACGTACGTCACGAGCGTACTTATTTTTTATTTTTACATGAAATGCGCTTGGTGCCTATTACGTTTTTATGTATCGTTTTTAGGGTTCCGTAGTCAACTAGGAACCCTTATAGTTTCGCCATGTCTGTCTGTCCGTCTGTCCGTCCTCGCTTAATCTCTGTGACCGTTAGCACTAGAAAGCTGAAATTTGGTACCAATATGTGTATCAATCACGCCGACAAAGTGGTAAAATAAAAATTGGAAAAAAATGTTTTATTAGGGTAGCCCCCCTATATGTAAAGTGGGAAGTGATTTTTTTTTTAATTTCAAATCTTACGTGTGATATATTGTTGGAAAGGTATTTAAAAATGAATAGGGGTTTACTAAAATCATTTTTTGATAATGTCAATAATTTCAGAAATAATCGCTCCAAAAGTTAAAAACATGTGTCCCCCCCCCCTCTAACTTTTGAACCATAGATTTAGAAAATATGAAAAAAATCTGAAAGGTAGAACTTTATAAGGACTTTCTAGGAAAATTATTTTGATCCTGGATGGAAACAGTTTTTGTACAAAAAAAGTCAAAAAGTTGTACAAAATAATTTCTGGACTAAGTTTGTAGTATAATCGTTTTAAGCAGGCATTTTTTTAACTTCGTTTACATATTTTATTATCCTGAACGTATCTTTTTTTCAAACAAAAAAAAGAATTATTAAAAAATTATCCAAAATTACCACCGAAAACTTCAGGCACGTCTATGTATTAATTAGTAACCCAATTCCCCGAGAGATGGCGCTGTAGGTACTTATTACATTGGGTCGGGTATTATCGAATTGTTCGGTTGGTCTCTCCTTGGCATCGCCTGTCGCGGAGCGTGCCATGTTGCACGCTCCATGTTCGCGCACGTACCCACTACCGGGAGCAGTTGCAGGAGCGCGGAGCGCTGCTGGAGCGCGAACATAATGGATACCCACCTTTAAACTCATAAGTGGGAACACTTATTGTGACGGATGGGAAACTACGGAACCCTACACTGAGCGTGGCCCAACACGCTCTTGGCCGGTTTTTTATTTACCGAAAATTGATATAGAAAGTACATAAGTGTTGTTTTTATTCGTATTGATGTCACATACCCTGTATGATACCTACTAATATATTACATCTGCTCCACGCTTTTTATTATTTATTTTAATTTCCTAATTCTAATTATTATATTCATAATTAGTGATTTGTTAAATTAAATTAGCCCAATACTTGTACTACTTTTGCAGCCACTAAAAATTGTTTTTCGTTTAATATTTTAATTACCATTTATTAGTAGCGACGAAGTGCAAATTAGTTTGCCATGTTTTCACGTGCTACACTGTGCATATTTGTCATACGGTTGTAAATTTTCGCACAAACTTGATATTAAAAATAAGTGTATTGTAGACTTATTAGTTAACAACACTTTTTTTTAAATATATATAACAACACTTTTACGCGGTAGAGCCACGCTGGGCTATATTAGTTGTAGCAGGAATAGGTCGGCTCAACTGAGGCAGAACCACATTCTCACAGAATACCAGCGTAAAATAGCAGCTAAAGGCTGTTGTATTTCGTTTGGTGTGTGTAGAGAACGCAACTGCCAGCGTGACAACTATTCCCCTAAAGGTAATATGTGGGACAGGCCTATGATCAGCAGTAAACTTTCGACAGGCTAAACTACTAATGGTGTTAATTAAATTCAAGACAAAATATCGTTCCAACGTAGAAGGCCATGCTCCTTCGAAGGCCAATTATTAAAATGTAGTTATTGCCATGTGATAACAAATTCCTTCTACTTACACTCTATTTTGGCAATACGGTCCCTCGCTTCATTGATTTCGGGAATCGACGACGTCAAAATAAGGTGGGTGTACCATGAAAGACCCCTCTACCAAGTAAACAGTTATTATTCGTTTATTTACTGGATAAATGAAACTAACAAATATTTAAGTAATACTTTGTTTTATTACGTAACAAGATTTAATCGCTGTTTATTAAACTTTAGTGTTAAATTACTGATATATTATAATGGCCTTCTTATGAAGCCTCGTTCCTAGCAAGGCCATTTGAAAGAGTTCAATGGAACTTAAGTTCAATCAATATTGATTAAATCTGCAATTTAAAAAAGTGGTGTATATGTTATGTAATAAAACAAAGTGTTACTTAAATATTTGTTAGTTTCATTTATCCAGTAAATAAAGGAATAATATAACTATTTATTTGTTAGTGGCCTTCCATGGTACACCCACCTTAGTTATTATGAGGGTCTTTAAATATATGTATCATCATTATCATTATATTTCATTACATGTCCACTGAACAGTTGCTGAACATAACCCTTCCCCATGGGTTGCCACTAAGTATGGTCCCGAACCACTTGCATCCATCAACCACCCACATGACTCATAGATCGCTACTCCATCTATTGGTTTTTGCCCAACACTGCCTTTGTCCGTTCGAAGCTGCCAGTCAAGAATCTTTACTTTTCCATCGGTTATCGGTTTGGAGTCACATGGCCGTTTCATCGCCACTCCAACCTTTTTGATCCGTTAGACTATGTCATTTACTCGTGTTCTTCTTTTTTATCTTTTTTACGGATTAGTGTTTTATCACATAAGGTATGCGAGAGAAAGGAGTTAATAAAACACCTACCTCCACCTTTTAATGAAGCAGTAATTTGTAGAATATCATAGATCTCGATATCCTGTGAAGATGCTCTTTGCTTTTATCAATTTTGTCATTTTAACCCCCCGACGAAAACAGTGGGCTGTTTATAGTGTGTGTGTGTCTGTGTGCGTCTGTGGCATCATAACAATTGAACGGATGAACCGATTTTGATAAAAAAAATCTTTTGCAAGTTGTCTTAATCGAAAGTGTTCTTAGCAATGTTTCAAGAAAATCTGTTCAACTGTTTGAAGATCATCAGTTAGAGGATTTTTTTGAATTTTTTAATTTAAGT